CATTCTTTATTATGTTATGTTTAATTTTATTTAATTTTGATTTTATTGTTTTATTTTATTTTATATTTTATTCATTCTATTGCGTTCAAAATTACCACTGATATTTTATTTCATGATTTCATTGTTTCATTTCATTGTTTTATTTTATTTAATTTTTATTTTGTTTTATTTTATTGTATTATTTTATATTTTATTTTATTGTGTTCAAAATTACCACTGATATTTTATTTCATTTCATTATCTTATCTTATATTATTAATTTTATTTATTTTTTATTATTTTATTTTATTATTCTGAACAAAGTTAAAATACAAAATGCAAAGTTCAATCAAATAACCATTTTTCACATTTATGACCATTGCCGCATCCCCAGTCATGTGATCAAAATTCAGAGGCTTAGTAACTGACTCACATTTTCAATGGTTGCAGTGTCCCTATCTCTCTTAACAATGGAAATTTTCGGCACAATTCTCATAAAGAGAGGACTACCTGTATATGGGAAAAATTAAATCAGTTTGGTCATACTTAGCAGATATAAGTTGCCCTTGACTTATGACCAAAATGGAGCCCCAAATTTCTGGTGCTAAAATCCACATAGTCCTTAACTTGACCACAATTGAGCCAAATCTGTTGCTAAGGAAAACAGTTATTAAATGAGTTTTGCCCCATGTTATGATCTTCCTTGCCACGGTCCTTGAGTGAATCTCTGCCATTCTTAAGTTAGTGACAAGGTTGTTAAGCGAATCCGGCTTCCTGCGAATCCGACGATCGCAAAAGAGGACCGTGTGACCTTGGGACACCATCCCCGTCATAAATCCAAGTCACTTTCCAAGCATCTGAGTTTTGATCACGCTGCCACGGGGATGCGGCGATGCCCGTACGGGAGCTAAATATCCTAAGTGCCTTTTTTCAGGGCTGTCGTAACTCGGAACAGTCACTAGATGAATCGTTGTAGTCAAAGACTAGCTGTGGTTCCAAAAGTCGGACCGTTGACCATGGTTGACTTCAATTTTCCATCCCTCGTTTGCAGCGGAGATGGCTCGGATCTGAAACAACTTTACCATTTTGTCCGGACATCCCTGAATCCTTCTGCTGACGGATATCGGTGGAAGTTCCCCGTTGTGATCATTGACGATCCCGGGGTCCTGCTAAGTCTTGGAGTGCGGCTGACGGATGTCCTGAATTTCGTTCACTATTGCCGGGCGACCGTCAATGATGAACTGAAGGTAACTCTCGACGCGGGTCATCCTCGACTTACAACAGTTCGTTTAATCATCATCATCTTTTAATGACCACATAAATCCTTGTGGAGTGGGGGCAATTGAATGGAGCTAGCAGAGTGTTTGAATGGCCAGATGCCCTTCCTGTTGCCAGTGTGGAGTTTTGTTCAGCAGATATATTCTCATTATGCCCAGAGAGAGAAATATCTGCCTCTACCTAGGATTGAACTCACAGCCTTCTGATTGTGAGGCGAGAGCTCCACCTCTAGGCTACCGCATCACTCATTTTAGTTACTGGTTCATTTAGTGACCGGTCAAAGTTCCGACGGAAATGAAAAAAAGGGACTTAGGACCCTGTTTTGCACGTGTGAGCCGTCGCAGCATCCCTGCGGTCACGTGATCAGAATTCAGACAACTCCTTTGTACGACGGCCCCAGCATCCCGGGGTTGGGGCAATCCGTTTCGCGACCACCCAACAAGCAAAATCGGTCAATGTCACTGAACAACCGCATGGTGAAGTTAAACACCGCCGGGATTCACTTAGCAATGGCGGCCCAAAAGGTTGTTACATGGAGAGAACAGTCGCTTGATCGATGGGCTCGCTTTGTGACGGGAATTGGGGTCGTAAGTCAAGGACTGGGCGTTTTGGGGTCTCTAAGTTGTATTCTGAGCGGAAAGGCGAACCAAGTGAACAATGATGGTTTGTGTTTTAGGGGAACTTGGTTTTCCTGGTGCGGAGCAGTGAAGCGTCGGAAGACGAGGAGAATGAACTTCTGGGGAAGGCCCTTCGCCATCAGGCCCACAGCGTCCTCTGGGCCGAAGGTCTGGCCAGCGGCTACTGCAAGGAAGTCCACGGACAGGTGAGTCTACCTGTCTCCTTTCCCTGGACTTCTTGGGGGAGGGTTTCAAGTAGAGCTCTCCTTCCTTCCTTCCTTCCTTCCTTCCTGCCTGCCTTACTGTCCCTTCTTTCCTTCCTGTCTTTCCTTCTTCTTTTCTTCTTTCTTCTTTCCTTCCGTCCTCCGTGTCTGCCTTCCTTCCTTCCTTCCTTCCTTCCTTCCTTCCTTCCTTCTTTTCTTTTCTCCCTCCTTGCCTGCCTGTCTACTTTTCTTCTTATCTTCCTTCTTTCCTTCCTGTCCACCTTCCTTCCTTCCCTTCTTCCTTCCCTCCTGCCTGTCTTCCTTACTGTCCTCCTTCCTTCCTTCTTTCCTGCCTGTCTGACTTCCTTCCTTTCCTTCCCTCCTATGTGTCTTCCTTCTTTCCTGCCTCTGTCTTCTTCCCTCCTTCCTTTCCATCCGTTTCCTTCCTTCCCTCATTCCATCCGTTTTCTTCCACCTTCTTCCTTCCTTCTCTCCCCCCTCCCTCCCTCCTTTCCATCCATTTCCTTCCTTCCTTCCCTCCTTTCCATCCGTTTCCTTCCTTCCTTCCCTCCTTTCCATCCATTTCTTTCCTTCCTCCTCTCCTCCCTCCCTCCTTTCCATCCATTTCCTTCCTTCCTTCCCTCTGTTCCATCCGTTTCCTTCCTTCCTTCCCTCCGTTCCATCCGTTTCCT